CGATAAATAAGAACACAATCAGTCTGACCTCTGAAATTGTGTGTTCTTATATGCGGGTGTTTACTGTATAGTGAAACTGTTTTGATCTTGAGTTGGACCTTCACTTTGTACATGGAAAAAATAATGCATCATCATGGTAGATTTAAACTCAATAAGTCATGCTAGGTTGTTTAAAACCTTCTGAAAGTAAGAAAGTAGGTCATTGAAAGTAGGTCATTGCATAGATCCATTCATAATAAACACACTGTGAAAATTTCATTCAGATATCTTTTCTCCAGGGGGCACAAGTCATAGTCCGGGTTGTCATCTGTTGATTGTGTGTGGAACCATATGGCCTTGACAGCATTTTGCATTGACTGGATATCGTGTGTGTTGTTTCATGTGGCCCTCCCATAATAGACCTGGAGTTGATCTATTTTACTTTTTGTAAGCCTTCCTGTGCCACCAATTGGTTTACCATCTGGACCCAGCCACACATTTATTTGCATAAACATGAAATAAACAACAGTCTTCAGCGTTTGTGATTGGCCCATTGCAATCAGCACTTCAAAAGACAAGGTTGAAGATGTACACAGAACGTGGCTGTAAAGAACTAGAGCTGGGTTCCCGGTTTATAGGTTTGTTTCTTCCTCCTGTGTGCTGCCGCCACTGAAAGCAGCAGAAGTTGACAATCCACCACAGTCAAGCCTTCTCATTTTTTATGGAACTGGGGAATGCACCTCGTGGGCCTTGATGTAGTTTTTTTGTGGTCTTGATCGCCTACTTGCTTTGCCGTTCGCAACATTTGAGAAAAAGCAAAAGGATTGTCTGGACTGATGTTTACAAAGTCTCCATCTTCGTCTTTATAGCGAAGTCTGATAGAATCTTGACCAAGGTGAGCAAGAGGTGAACAATTCCTCTGTATGGTCTGAAGCAGGGTTTCGTATGTAACATTTCTCAATAGAAATGTCACAAATCTTTCCCCGCCGTAATCTACTTTTACCTGCAATGCCATATTTTTGCAACTGAACTGAATGAAGAAGCGCGCCGGCTTTGATATCCTGACTTCGATTTTTAAGGCCTCTGATTGGTAGTTTACAGCAACCGGAAGCCATAAAACCCATCAAACTAATCGAAAACCTGTCAAAAAGATGTCAAAAACTTAGTCGGGTGGTCACGGTTTGACGCTCTTGACTGTAAAACAGAAATCCATGGAAGTACTGATTCCGAATTCAGCGCACATTCTCTTATATGAGGGATGTAATAATTATTATTTGTCTGACTGAAAGTCGAATCTCCAGGAAACGCAGATTGAGTCGAAATCCCTCCCATTTCCCTTAAAATCCTTCTCGTTGTGAAACAAGTGTGAAACATCAGAAATGATGTACTACTAATTACACACCTGGTCATGGCTCACCAAAATGCAAAATTTAATTGTTGCGTCCAATAAATCATGTTGGGACCTGCCAACCATTTCTTCGATTCTTTACCCGATTCATGGAAAATCACGCTGTCGCTGAAAATATTTCTGAACTTTGTTGTGAAGTAATTAGTTGGGTCACAAAAATCTTAAACTCTTTACAGGGCTCGAAAAATATTTGAATTCCAGCTTGCCCTTTGGGCAAGTAACTCTCAAATATTGCTTGCCTGGGCCACTTTCCCACTTGCCCAAGTTTTCAGACTCACTAATAATTCATGACCTAAAAATGGAAGTTATTCAGTGATGTGTTTGAATGTAATAACCTGTCTGGCTTGCTCATAATCGTCTTAGTTTTGATCAGTTTTATTTGCTCATTGATCGAGAAGAGAATCTATTCAATTGAAAGGAGTAAAGCAAGGCTTCTTCTAATATCTTAGCATGTTTCAACTTATCAGGAGGACCTTTCAAAAGAGTGACTTATTCCCCAGAAGGTGAGGTAGTGATTAGAAAAATAAAAAACCTTACTCATATCACTTCCATGAAAATTAAAGTGACTGATGAGAATGGTGATTTAATCGATTTCAATGGACTCCCTTTAAGGTTCAAAATAGAAATTGTATAAAAACTGTCAGATCAAAATATGATTCATCATGTTATTCCAACACCAAGCTTGCCCTCACTTCATCCCAAGTTAAATGCGAGTGATGTAAGGGTGAGCGATTTCAGATTGAAAAAGATTTATGATTGTCAGAGAGAACTCGAGAATGAAAATTCTCATTACCAACAGGTATCGAAAAAATGTAAAAGTGCCAATTCAATTTCTCACACCGTGGCCACTCTGTCTGGAGTCACAGCCACCATTTTATCATCCAGGGGTCTCACAGTCTCCCTGAGTGGAATCAGCCTCATAGTTGGTGCTCCTTGCTCCAGTGTCGCTGCTCTCTCAGGATTCATTTCAACTTTCATCACTGCAGGGAAGAAGGCTCAATAAAAAGGTAACAAAACACAAGAAGACTATCTCTCTCATTGAATCGTCAAATCTTTCAATCAACAAGTTAATTTCAAAAGCATCTAATGATAACTATGTCTCTGACGTGGAGTTTGACTTGATTCTTCGCGAGGTTAAACAGTATGGAATCATGAAAGGTTTGAGAAGCAATGCGAGTGAAGCAAGTAAACCATCTGTTGATGTCAAAGCTCTGAAAGAAGAGATAAAGAAAGAATATCAAAGGAAGCTAGGATCCCTCGTAAACCTAAAGAATTAACGATTACATGTAATTTTTCAATAAAACGAACCTAATGGTCTGTGATTTCCTGTGAAGATCCTTGACTTTCATTCAAACAGAGACTCTATTTTCGGTTTCGCTTTCTTGCCTTTGATGCTTGATTTTTGCTCTGAAGTTTAATTCTCAGAACAATTTTCTCATGTAGCTTATCAATCTTCCTCTGATTGATTCTTCGTTCCATTTCTTGCTTTGTGGCTTTTGCCGCAATATCTAACATCTTCGTGAGGGCTTCTGGGTTATCTTCAAACTGCAACAGACTTTGGTCTTGAAATGATGTTAACTGTTTGAAGAATTCAACTGGGTTGAATGAGACCATTTCGAGTGAAGGGTTTTCAGTCACAATTAACTTTGCCTCTTCTCTAAAATGTGTGATCTTTTCCAAGGATCAATCAAGTCTTTGATTCAACTGGTCGAATGATAAAGGCGTCTTGAATCAAGCGAGTGATATGTGAATAATTGTTCACAATTTTGAAGATTTTTGTGAATGATAGTAGACTTTTCACGCCCCTCGGCGACAATTTTGGACCCAAGCAATTAATTTTCACACCCTGCAGAAGCACTTGTAAAAAATAATGTATTTTAACACCTCTCAGTGGCACTTATAACAATCACAAAATGGTCATGAAATTAAAATCATAGCATATTTTACCATCATGGCTTCAAAATCATGGACCATTTTATCACCATAAAATTAAAATCACAGACCATCTTACCATCATAGCTTCAATATTATGAACCATTTACCTTTATAAAATTAAAATTATAACTATAATTATAAGAGGCTTGAAAATCATTTTTTTGAAAAAAGCTTTAAGAGAAATTGACATATATTATTATGGAGGGTGAAAAAATAATCTCATCTAGTAGTATGGAAAAACTATCTAAAAGAATGTTATCATACAATAGTATGCATAGAAATAATCTAGGTATATTATCAAAACAGCAGCTAATTGAGTTGTCACTGAAAAAAGAAAATAAACCAATTGGAGTTCCAAGAACAAGAAAGAGTGTCAGACAACTGGTTACTGAGTATGAAAATAAAATAATACCACCACCGCCTCGATTTAGAGATCCTGTTGCAGTTCCCTGGACTAAAATAATTCTTCCACTGCCTCAATTCAGTGATAATTACAAACCTGTAGCAGCTCCCAGGACTTAAGTAACAAAACTCAACAAAGCTCTCGAGGGTGCTGTTAAGTCTTATGGAGTTGACATTAAAAACCAAAAAGACTCATTAGGACAGTTAAACAGCACTAATAAATGGATCAAATCTCAAATGTGTATTAAATAAAATTAAAGGACTAAACCTGGTTGAAATACTGAAAATAACTTTTAAAAAACCAAAAGATAGAAATACAATATACAAAACAGCTTATTTCAACAGTAAGACTTTAACAATTACAAATGATATTGAAATTGAAGAAATAATGAAATTAGCATGAGAGCAAATAGTCAGAAAGATTTCACAATGGTTATCAGAAGGATCAGGGTGGGTAATAGAATCAGTCCACAAACATTTGAATATAGTCAAGTATAATCCAGTAGAGGGTTCATCATATATACAACTTCCAAAAGAATTAAGAAACTCCAAAAAGGGTTTAGTAAACATGAAAAATGATGATGAATGCTTTTCGCTGGTGTTATATTAGGCATTTAAATACACGAGAGAAAGATGCACAGAGGATTAAGAAGTCAGACAGAGAAATGATTAGCAATTTAGACTATTCAGGTATTGAATTTCCAGTTGATGAAAAACAGTATAACAAAGTAGAAAAACCAAACAATATCAAAATAAACATATTTGGATATGAAGCAAAACAACTATTCCCTATTTACGTTTCAAAAGAAAAGTTTGATAATTTGATGAACCTTTCACTAATAACAGAAGATGAAAACAAACATTACCTTTTGATTAAAGACTTACACAAATTCATGTAAAACAAAACTAAACACAAAGAGAGAAAGCATTTTTGTATGCACTGTCTGACCATTAATGTTATTCCAAGTAATACAGAAAAGTACATGGCTTTTATGTTAAGTCACAATCTAGTATTTATTGATAGTTTTCAATTTATGAGTTCTAGTCTTGATAAACTAGTGAGTAATTTGCCAAAAGAATCATTAAAATATACATCTGAAGTCTTCAAAGGAAAAGCACTGGATCTGATGTCAAAGAAAGGTGTCTATCCATATGACTATATGGATTCATTTGAAAAATTCAATGAAACTGAGTTACCTACAAAAGAAGCATTTTACAGTATTCTCAATGATGAACATATCTGATGATGATTATAAGGATTTAATCTCAAGAATATGGGAGAGTATCATGATCTATATTTAACAAGTGATATTTTGTTATTAGCAGATGTATTTGAAAACTTCAGAAAAACATGTCTTGAATATTATAAGTTATATCCAGCTCATTATTTTACTTCACCTGGATTATCCTTGGATTCAGTGCTCAAAATGACTGACATTAAATTGGAATTGATGAACGATATTAACATGTTTCGATTTATTGAAAAGGGAATGAGAGGAGGAACAAGTTATATTGCTCACAGATTTGGTGAAGCTAATAATAAGCACATGAAAGATTATGATAAAACAAAACCTCCAAAATGTTACGTATCTTGATGCTAATAATCTCTACGGATTTGCAACGTCACAATATCTCCCGACTGGCAATTTCAGATGGATGTTGCAAAATGAAATAAATAAAACAAATTTAGCTAAGTATGCAGAAGATAGTAAAACTGGATTGANTGAAAATTTCATTCAGATATCTTTTCTCCAGGGGGCACAAGTCATAGTCCGGGTTGTCATCTGTTGATTGTGTGTGGAACCATATGGCCTTGACAGCATTTTGCATTGACTGGATATCGTGTGTGTTGTTTCATGTGGCCCTCCCATAATAGACCTGGAGTTGATCTATTTTACTTTTTGTAAGCCTTCCTGTGCCACCAATTGGTTTACCATCTGGACCCAGCCACACATTTATTTGCATAAACATGAAATAAACAACAGTCTTCAGCGTTTGTGATTGGCCCATTGCAATCAGCACTTCAAAAGACAAGGTTGAAGATGTACACAGAACGTGGCTGTAAAGAACTAGAGCTGGGTTCCCGGTTTATAGGTTTGTTTCTTCCTCCTGTGTGCGTTTGTTTATAAGCATACATTCAATTCATTTTGTTTCTGCACGCTGGACTGTCTGACATTGTGTTGGTTTCCTTATGAAGTGTATGAAATCAGAACCGGAATACAAAAACCTTAATTTATTTCATTGAGTAATTCTACCATGATCAGTTTTACCTCTGAATAACTAGTGCGTTATACATTCATAACTTTTCAGACCAAGAAACAGAACATCAAAGACACCCGTGTTTGCTCTTTCCAAATGCAATTATGCGCACCGGAATAAAGTAAATGAGCAGAACGTTATCAATAATGGGATAATCTACTTACAGTAAGATACAAACCAAGATTATTTTGATTAAATGCTGTAAAAACACGCTTAAAGGAAAACTCAACACTAACAGTATCAACAGAACATCGAGATTCATCAGCTCACAGTTACAGTCACTACTGTGCAGTAGAGCGCATCGAGTTACTGGAAAGAGGGATCATGTATTTTTCTTCGTGAAAACAAAACTTGTAACTCAACAAAAGCAGTCTAATAAAGCTGAAAATATCGCAACAAATAATCCGTAATGTCACCGCTGTCTTGGAGAACTTGCACAAGTATTTGTGCTCTAGCTTATATCTTTGTGAGGCATCAGTGCTTTCAGCTGAGAATTTTGGAACTGTTCCAAAATTTTCAGCAGTTGCCAATCCTCCTCCACACCATTTGGGAACTCTTTTGTTCAGTGCCCTTTGAAGAGCAAGCAAATCATGATCCAACTGAAGACGTTTCCCACTTGCATATTTGATGAGATTTTGGGCTCGTAATCTCAGTTGCATTATGGCAAAAAATGACTATTTGGCCCATTCACGTGCATTCCTGAGACCTTTGATATTAGCTTCCTCATCTGCACTTTGTTGTTCAAGATTCTTTATCGTACACTGTAGCTCTTGTATATTTGCTCTTTGTTCTGGATGTTTCTCTCGTACTTTGCAGCTGATGTTAGTACAAGGCTCATTCTTGCAGGTGGTTTTTGTGTGCCCAGCGATGTGGCAAACTGTACACATTCGTGCTCGAATACTGGACAGCGACAAAAACTGTTTATCTTGTGTCAGATTGTTCAATTCTTATCTTGCAGTTGATAGCTGCACTTGCAAGACAGTGAGATTTTCCTTTAGTTACTCTTCCTTCAGATCCAATTCTGATTCTTCCCTGGCTACTGTAGAACACGGAATTGTAGTTTGTGCTTTTGAAGTGGCAACTGGCACCAAAGCTCTGTAGGTAAGTTGTTTTGGCTCTAACTTGCCGCCACTGAAAGCAGCAGAAGTTGACAATCCACCACAGTCAAGCCTTCTCATTTTTTATGGAACTGGGGAATGCACCTCGTGGGCCTTGATGTAGTTTTTTTGTGGTCTTGATCGCCTACTTGCTTTGCCGTTCGCAACATTTGAGAAAAAGCAAAAGGATTGTCTGGACTGATGTTTACAAAGTCTCCATCTTCGTCTTTATAGCGAAGTCTGATAGAATCTTGACCAAGGTGAGCAAGAGGTGAACAATTCCTCTGTATGGTCTGAAGCAGGGTTTCGTATGTAACATTTCTCAATAGAAATGTCACAAATCTTTCCCCGCCGTAATCTACTTTTACCTGCAATGCCATATTTTTGCAACTGAACTGAATGAAGAAGCGCGCCGGCTTTGATATCCTGACTTCGATTTTTAAGGCCTCTGATTGGTAGTTTACAGCAACCGGAAGCCATAAAACCCATCAAACTAATCGAAAACCTGTCAAAAAGATGTCAAAAACTTAGTCGGGTGGTCACGGTTTGACGCTCTTGACTGTAAAACAGAAATCCATGGAAGT